TTTTAAAGATGGAAAGATGAAGTTTAGTGGGAGTGAAAGATGGATGAGGGAGAATGTGGTGTGTATGAGTGAAAAGTGTTGACAGGACGACACCCTCCATCCGACCCAGCTTTCCTCGGTACGCTCGGTAGTGGACTAGACTCATTTACCTCTCTGACGATGAATCAGCGGAAGAGGAGCTCCAGTTAACGCTACCTTTCAGCGTCTCAGTAGGATGGCAGAGATATATCCGGAGTGGTGACGGGACTTCGTCAACAACAGTTCACCTCAACGGGTGGACTTCACATGAGTGGGGTTCTTCAGAAGTTCCACTCAGAGGTGGAAGATGTTATAATCCCAAACTCGGAAGAGCCTTATCATGGCTGGACTTCTGTTCTCCCAAACAACTGGAGCTGCAAACTCTCCAGCCCGACTCCAACGGCAACTACGACCCAACAGCAACTTCACAGAACTGCCACTTCACAGAACTGCCACTTCACAGAACTGCCACTTCACAGAACTGCCGCTTCACAGAACTCCCACTTCACAGAACTGGGAGAACTAGGAAGTACCGACATTTTAAAGGGCTCTATTTCCGGTTCATTTGAGAGTTTCTGATTGGTCAATATCAACCAGACAGGGGTGTGTTTTGTGATGTAAGGTGTTATGGAAAGTCAGAAACCAGCAAGAATGTTATGGAACAGATTGAAAATGTTTTCAGACAGGCGAGAGAAATGTTTGGGCGAGTTTGGAGAAACAGGTGCCAACTTCTCTGTTTACGTCTGAGAGGATTTAAAAACAAGACAGTTGTTCCAACACTTGTCTGCTTCGACTTCGACCTTGGATCAAACTTACACTGCTCATTCAAAGACAGAAAATCAGAAAATGCATAATTACTCTGTAACAGACCTTAACATGAATTCTAACTTTGCATGAGCAACTAAAAATCATTATACTGTTTCACAGTTAATAAAAATTGATTAGTTCACTGCAACATCTAAAATGGTTTGAACTAAAACACTTTGATTATCAACATTTGTAAAATAGTAATGATAATAGAAAAGAGAGTGTTCTTTCACTTGTAGTTTCAAGAAAGAAAGTCTCAGGATGAGTCAACCTGTATTTCTGGATTCAAATCAATGAAATGACAGTTTTGACATCAGGTCAAGTTCACTACACCAGGGTGTACCCCGCCCCTCACACAGTGATTGCTGGACATGGGCACCGGCGATCCCCGTGACCCAAAATGGAATAAACGGGTAAAGATAATGGTTGGATGGATATATGGATGGATGGATAAATTGTGGAAAATGACATAATATGGGTTGGTGAATATTCTATTCAATTCAATTCAAAAATACTTTATTAATCCCAAAGGGAAATTATTTGTTGTTGTAACTCCTTATACTCATTTCATTAAGAGATGTTCTAGATGTTGATGGCTGTAGGCAGGAATGATCTCTTGTAAAGGTCCATCCCACAGTGGATCCTAAGAAACTGGCTGCAGATGCCGTCTGATCCGTCCACCCAGACTCGGCTGGCATCTCGGTTCCCCCGGGCTGTAGGACCACCCGAATATCGGGCAGAACTCCTCCCAGAGCGATGGCCACTCCTCCCAGCAGTCTCCTGAGCTCCTCGTCGCTGCGGACAGCCAACTGTACGTGCCGAGGGGTGATCCTGTCCTTCCGCTGTCATGAGCTGTGTTTCCTGCTAGGTCCAGGATCTGAGTGGTCAGGCACTCGAGCACAGCTGGCAGGTAGATGAGAATGCATCCACATAACATCCTTTTCAACTATTTTGAGATTTGGGGCTTTAGTTGAGATATTATTTGAGCTTTTGAGATGTTAATCAGCTACTGTTGTTGTAGAAAACTGCCTTGTAGCCATGGTTACGCATCATAATGTAGTGAATGTAGGGACAGCTTTGCTGTAGCTTCACTACTAATTAATTATTCTTAAAGCTAGTTCAAGCACAAAGAATATTAATTATTTAATTACAACAGATTTTTTTCTTTTTCGAGTTAAATTATGTGTCGTGTGACCGAGATAACTGTGAGGATTGTTTAATCAGTGACATGAGACGCCATTTTTCTTTGACCCATCAGAATAAATGCGGTCATTTATTTAACAGAATCAAAATTTAACATCAAGACATGTACACATTGATTTGCTGATCTGTTTCTGATTAATAAAAACTTGGCACGCTTTACTAACAAGACAACAGAACATTACTGATTGAGGCTGAGTCACCTCTGAAGGCATCTAGATTACTGGCAAATAGAAAAGTTTAAGGGAAGGAATGGAGAAGTTAAAAGGAAGGTGGATGAAGGAAGATTTATGTTTGTTGACCAGAATTAGCATGCTCCTTTCAACACCAGCTCAAACCCCCGGTCCAATTAGTGCGTGACAACTCGTGATGTCTCTTTACCTGTGCAGATGATGGGTCAGCTCCGGTCTAGAGGTCCCTATGTACGCTAACTTTCAGCATCTCCGGTCAGGGTGGCTGGTCATCGTCAGAAGTCGTGTGGCTTACTCCGTTCAACAGAACAAGCTCCCTTGAAGTTGTAGGGCGTTACGCCCGGGTGAGTTCACAGCGAGGCACTGTGACTCCAGCTGGGATGGACGGACCCTCGTCTCACGGTCAAATCCATCAGCTATTGATTAAATCTGAAAGTTCCTTAGGAACCCAAAAAAGTTCAATATGGTCCTCTGGACATTCAAAAAAACAAAAAACAAAACAAAGCAAAAAAATATAGAAACGTTTCGTCTCTCATCCTGAGGACTTCCTCAGTCTGAGGTGCTGTTTTCAGCTCAGTCTCTTAAATAGCACCTTCTCAGAGTGGATCAACCAGTTTGCTGCTGACAACCAAAACCAGCTGCTCACATGCTCAAGAAGGACCATCAGCCTAACAATGGATCATTAGCAC